ATCGTGCGCCTGGGTAACGATTCCAATACCATGTACCGCCGATACCATCACCAGCCTCAAGAATCCTTGCTGAAAAACCTTGCTCACGTAAACGATATAACATGTAAAGACCTGCGAAACCGGCACCAACAATTACTGCATCGAGCATTGTCGGTAATGTTTCGTCACTATTCATACTTGTCTCTGTGTTCTTTATCTCAACAGCGCAGGTCGGTGTAGCAGTAAAGAATAAAACTATTACAATGCAGTATATATACTGTCGTTATGACGTTAAAAAGAGAATGAAAAGGCTCGAATGATAAGACGAAAATTATCACGGAGTAGCAACCTCAATTAGTGGCGCTCTGTAGGAGGGCACGATGTTTTCGTATTGTAAAGCAGTTTGTACAAAACAGGCTTGTAACATGACGTGATAAAAGAACTTTCAACAACAATGTCTTAGTTCCATTTCCAAAACGGCTTATTATCATCGAGAGAAAAGTATCATCGTAGTATAAAGGGTGTGGATGCTTTTCTGCTACCAGACATTCTAGTCCTCGTATCCATACCCGCTTCGAAGCAATCTATTATATCCCTTCTGGAAGTTAGTAAAAAGACTTCATGCCATTCCCAGATGAATTCAACGAAATTCGACGGATCACAAATCGAAACGGTTATCCTCGTAGTTTCATTGATACTCGTATCGGCATCCGTTTGCAAAGTATCTTAACAAGAGTACAGAAAAAGTAAACGCACTAAATAAGATCGATGGCAAGAAGACAGCGATATAATTTGAAATTACTTGTTGGCTCGGTGACGGAACAACTGAAGTCAAAATTGAAAGAGATAATATGCAAAGTTCGATCTGACGTCGACGCGTGGTTCTTCGACAAACAGTTCCGATCAGTTCAAACGTTCTCTATTCGAAAAGAACTCCTTTGAAAGTATCTACAATTGGACATCGGGGAGACGGAATAGCAAGCCGTACGGCGCATGCGAGAACACGGTGCCCCGAAGAATATGTTCGATATTAACTTTTAAATAAACAAGCAACCATCTAAACCGACGAATGACTGCACAAAAGCAAGTGAATCATTACGATCCACATGAGCAACACTACTTAGATCGTCCAGAATTTGTAACCAGTGATAACACAGCTCCACACAGTG